TTCTAACAAAAGAATTTTTAACAACCTCAATTTCAGGTGACGTACCTATTATAAATGAATAAATGGCAACTCTGTGCATTCAACTCTCCATATCTGCAAGTTCCTTATCCTTGGATTCAGCCAACCTCAGATTGAAAATTTTTGAGAAAAATAGAAATAATACAAATAAAAAATGCAGTGTAACAGCTATCTACATAGAATCTACATTGTATTAATATTAGGTATTATAAGTAATCTGGAGATGATTTAAAGTATGTGGGAAGATGTGTATAGGTTATATGCAAATACAGTACTACACCATTTTATATCAGAGACTAGAGCATCCTTGGATTTTGGTATCCACTGAGGTCCTGGACCAAATCCCTGTGATACTGAGGGACTACTGTACTTTTTAATTCTACTCAGTAAAGCAATTAAATGTGCCTCAAATTTTTCTTCTGAAATAGAATCTACTCCCCTTGTGGAATTCATGTGACTTTTCGTGTTTTCTGGATCACATCTTAAATAGAATTAAAGATTTGGCAATTTTTTTAAACCACAACTATTCAAATGAAAGCAGCATAAATGCTAATTTTTATCTGACTACATTTCGAGAATTTAAACTGTATGTGACGTTCTCTCTACAAAAATTATTCTAATGCATAAAGAATCTATGTATCTATAGAATTTTGAGTATAAAATTCAAAAACACATTGCCTTCAGTTTAGCATGTGTATGTGTTTCATGTCTCTGTCTGCCTCATAACTGTGCATTGCTTTTTTAGGACGAGATAGATTGTTTGCAGAAGGAGGTAGAAGAGCTTAAGAGTAAAAATCTCAGCTTGGAGTCACAGATCAAGACTATTCTGGATCCTTTAACCTTGATGCAGGGTAACCAAAATGATGACAAACATCCAGTTGCAGATAATTCAAGTAAAATTGACCCAGAAACTGTGACAGAGTGGAAGAAAAAACTCAGAACAGCTAATGAAATCTATGAAAAAGTGAAAGATGATGTGGATAAGTTAAAGGAGGTAAGTTGTGGTTTTAAAAAAATCTATTATGGTTGATTTTAAAAATTCTAAAATATTTTAAGCACCTTCAAAAATATAAATAGCCATATTATCTTGACTCATCATCAGATGATTTGTGAGGGAAGGACAGAATCTCTGGATGAGCATTTATTTGCGATAAGAAAACTTTTTCTCATTAAATATCATTAGCTGCCAAGAAATATCAGGTGGTTCCATTTGTGAGTATAATTGGAGACTCTAGTGCTTCTATATGAGATTGCATCTTCTTCTGGAAGAGTAACATCAGTTTAAAGGATGTGTTTCTATTTCCCCCTCTTTGTGGTTTGCCTTAGTTTTGTAAAGCTTATGTCAGTAACTGCCCTGTGTGCATAAAAACACACACATACCCATTTTCCTACATATAAAAAGAAAAGTTTTGACCATATCTTTTCTAGCACTACCATTCTCTGATTTTTAAGATTGTAAATAGACAATTAATGGGTTAATAACTAATTCCAAAAGAGCAATGAGCAGCTTTAGACTACTCCATGCAAAAGAATATTGTGGCTTATGAGGCTAGTTCATTTTTTTTCAATTATTCTTCCATCTGTTTAACAAGACAGAGCATAGGTGAAAAAGGCAGACTTTTAGGATTTTCCAATTTAGGAAGGGAGATAAGATCCATGTCATCAGCACTAGACGTTACAATCAAGTGCTATAGCACTCTCTTGACCCTAGTGACAAGCCTTTAGCTTGACTTCGAGTTTATCCACAGTAGAGTACTGTCGGAGATGGTTTTGTCCCATTCAACCTACCTGCATTCCCTTAAAATACTATCCCTGTGCTGGATTACTAAATCCTGCCTCCTGAAATCATTAATGAGCTCCATATGATATTTTAAAGAAGTACCCCTGTATATTGGTTCTCAGATCTTCAATGAGGTTAGTTAAGTAACAGAAAATCATCTGCAACTTAGGCGTAAGCCATCATCCACATATAAAATAAATGCTGTTTGGGTGCAGAAAAAGCCAAGATGAGAGGAAGAAGAGAACTTACTGCCTTCAGAGAAAAAAGAAACTACAGACATAATTGTACTGAGTTTGTTACAAGGTCAGGGGAAATGTGTAGTTTCTTTAGATATTGATGGCCAACATTAGTGTATTGCTTTGTTAGAAGACAAGAGGACACTAAAAGGAATGCCAACTGGGAAGTTAGTTTTTATCAATCCGCCATGCCCCCTTTAACTTCCCTGCCTCTGCTTGAGCATTGGTAAGCTCTGTATGGTTTCCTTCAGAGTTATTAAATTGCATTTAAATTTTTGGCAATAAATGCTTAGAGCGTGAGGCTCTGTGTGGTGACTGGGCTGATAAGGGTGGTTTAGGGAATGTATGTAAAAAGAAGAGTACATAAAGCACAGTTAGTTTTTCTTTGCACTTTTAATGGTGACATGTTAAATCCAATACCCAAAGGTACCCTGAGATTTCAGAATTATTTAGGACATTTAATAAGCCAATTTTGGATGTCTAGTGGTGGTATTAGGTAATAGGCTATAAACCAGGGCATAAATGAATGAAAACACATGGACTGCAGAGACAAAATTTAAATGTGAAGTGCAAGATAATAACATACTATAAAGCAAATACAGGAGTACAAAAGTTTAAAGGACTCCTTAACATGAATGAAATGGACCTTTTTTTTGATGTGTCCTGGACTAGGTGAGTTTTGAACCATGATCAGGCTAGTATCATTATCCAATCAGCATTGAGAATGCAGAATAGTTAGCTGAAGTCTTTATTACTCTTTTAGGTGCAACAAGTAGGCAGAACTCTGCCCTTTGTAATCTTTACTCACCTAACCTTCCTGAACTTGAAAATACCTCTGATAGTTGAGGAACTGGCACACCCATAATGAGAAGTATTAGAGAGCCACAGGACTGGTGAGAGGCCTTGAAACAGAGCAGTACAGTAGTGGAGGGCAGGGATGGGGAAGGGAAATCAAATGAGTTTCTAATTTAAGCTTGTCGTCATCATCAAAAAGCATTCACTAAGTGCCTCTCCTTATAGTGCTATGCTTGAGAGCTTAATTCATTGTCTGTATGTATGAGGAAGTAAATGGCTTTACTTATATCTTCAGAGAGGCAGTAATGGTGTTTATCAGTCACTTAAGGAATTAACCCTCCACAATCCTGGTTGGTGTGCAACCATCAAGATGAGCAAATGCTTGGAGCCCCAAAGGAACCTGAATGAGTCTAAGTAAGGGAGTTAGGCTTTATGCCCAAAAGAATGTCCTTTACCTTACTTCTCTTATTATTGTTATGGTGCTTTTCTGTGTGATGGGGCAAGTAATATAGTCAGAAGTTCTAAAATTAGTCAAAAGCATTGCTCAGGTTTTTGAACTATGTTTTTAAAGCTTCTTGGTTAAAACCTATTTTGTTGACAATAGTTCTTCTGACCAATTCATACTGAATAAAAATGTTCTAGTCAAAGAATTTCCCTTGCCACATAAATGAGGTTGGTTTCTAGTCTACAGAGTCTTATTTTTCTTTGGAATACATAAATGCAATGACCAGGGAATCTAAAGAAAGTCGCTTTTAAGAAGACTCTAAAATTTAAGCATACTACTTTTTAGGCTGTCCGAAAATCAATATTGAGCCTCTAGATTTTCTAGCAACTGGTGTCTTGTTAGGTAATTTTTAGGTGTCATACAATTCAAGAGAGAAAATCATACTTAGAAGATTGGTTTTTAATCAAGGGAGAATCCATGAAATTTATTAGAAAATACTTGCTCAATTTTAGGACCCAGAGGTTGTGAGCCAGGGGATTGGGAGAGCCTTTTTGAAGAAAGCAAGCAAGTAGCTTAATCATATTGGATTTGTTATCACTGGAAAAAAAATTTTTTAAATAGCAACCAAGAAATCAATCTCATAATTCAAGAATTAACTCTTCATCATTAGTTTGCAAATACTAGTGTGTGATACAATATTACCTTGCTTAGAGTATTCAGTTATGTGAAAAAGAGAAAGAAAAGCATATCTGCCATTGTTACGGTTCCATAATGATTCTGAGCTAACATAGCTTCATTTATTTCCCTAGATAGGAGACTTGCAAAATGCTTTGGGAAATATGGATTAAAAATGCTTAGTTGTGTTCATAGTTTCAGAAGTCATTCCTAGTGGTGATTTTAAGTTTCTGACCATGTTCTAGTATTCAGTTTTCTGATATTATCACTCTAAAAAAATATAGATGACTCATGTCATAATTTTTACAAGGCACTTTTGGCTTGTGGTTAATTATTTTCAACTCAGGCTGGTTTCGAACTCCTGAGCTCAAACAATCCGCCTGCCTCGGCCTCCCAGAGTGCTAGGATTACAGGCGTGAGCCACCACGCCCGGCCTATTATTATTATTTTTAAGTTTTTTTTTT